TGGTTGACTGTCACAGGGCATGAGCATGAAATACTGTTTGACTGGTAGATAGCCAAGTCATTGTTAGCGAAGAATAGAAAAACTTCTGTTGATTTCTGCAAGAGTAATTTCTTTCTTATTTGCTGAAGAAGTAGGAAATAAAACATGCAGAGAGCACACTGAGAATATTCAGTATTGGTTAGTGATCTTGAGCTGTTTAATGAACTCTCACATGGGGTCATAAATGTAAGTCATGCTTTTAAGTTCAGGGCTTGGATTTTAGAAAACAAGATCCTAAAAATAGAGTAGAAAACTGATCCTGGATTTTCGGAGTGATGTGGTAGCTAGAGGATCTAGTGTGGTGCATTATCAGAAGTTGTAATATATGAATGAGAAAATAGCAGTCTCCAATAGGAGTTACGTATAGACTGGAAGCTGGGCTGGACTGGACTGCTTGTCCATTTCTGTTGTAGGTATTTGAGTAAAAATGGTGGAGGCTGAAAAGTTGGGAGGAGGTTGGAAATATGCCACATTCTCAACATGCCACAACAATGAATGGTGAAAAAAGAAGCATCATTAAGATTTAAGGATAACAATTCACTTCTATTATTATAGGGAGGAGATTCTTGCAATTTAAGTTTCTATGTAGTAATACAGTCATAACAAGAGCTGATGGATAGAAGTTGAATTGAAAAAAAAACATGTATTGAACACTTCCAACTTAGCTGTGAGTAGATTTTCTAACTGGTTATCACAGATTAGGCTTTTTCATTCGTTTACAGGGAGTGATATGGAAATGAAGGTGAAAGATTTATGTAGCTCAGTTGAGAACAACCCGAGTTACTTACTTATTTTATTTTTCATCTCTGGAGCACTGCTTTCCCCCCATTCCTGTGGATTGCACTTCATTGTTCCAGTTTTTTAATTGTTAATTCTCCATACTTACCTGCTTTAATAGTATTCTGGAGACTATTTACCATGGTTTGCAAACCATTCCAGTGGTTGCTGGTGGTCTCCTCTGACCCCCAAAAATGTGTTTGAGATATAAAAGAAAAACCTGAATGTGTTGGGGGGTTTTTTTGTCTCCCTTCTCATGTTACAGCTAGTCTCATCTGTGTAGAGAAAAAGGGAAGTACTTGATCAGTATTTGGTTCACAGAAGAAAAAATTTTGCTGTCCAAGGTTAATTTTAAATGATGTGCCATGGGCTGTCTGTATAAAGATGCTAATTGTTGACAGGTAATTGTTAACCCAAGTGTATAAGAAAAGCTCCAATATTTGTACAGCCATTTAGAAATTCATAGACTTGAGAAGAGTTGGAACTTTTGCTAGTCCTGTAAGGGCTGACAAAAGATTCTGTCCTTTGCAAAACTGACAGGAGTATGTTAGTAAAAGTACATGCTTATTACTACCAACAAGAGTAGTGAGCTCCATGTATTTGAATGTGACTATGGAGGAAAAATAGCTTGAGAAAATATTGAAATTTTGAAACACGAATTTGCTGATAAACATGAGACGCAAAATAATGAAGAAAAAGAACTGTGTATTTGTTCAGAGGAACTTGAAGCCTATGTGAAACACTTAGTGGGAGAGTGAGGGCAAGGTGAAAGCAGTAGCTGGATACCAAAAATAATTAAACTCTTGGATTCAGGGTTACCCTGCAAAGTCAAAGGTTTTTTTTCTTTTTTTTTTTTTTTTGAAACAAAACATTTCATGCTGAACACAGAAGACAGCATATTTTTAAAAATCACTCTAAGTTAGGCAGCTAGATCTAACTGCATCATGATGCATTGAGTGATTGGAAGTTATTACTGCTGAAATGGTTCTATTACATTGCATCCTTATGCTGGTTCATGTAATGGTGAAAGGGCAAAATCTCATCAGAAATGCTTACTGAGAGTGGGAAGATGCATTTTATTTGGGATGTGGGGTTGGTGGTTTTTTGTTTTTTGTTTTTTGTTTTTTTTTTTTTTCAGGTTAAGGCAAAGTAAATTCCAGTTGTTTTCCCTGTTCTCTTGTTTGTTGTATTCATAGCTCCTTGCATCCTTGGAAGCTCCATTCCCAGCCTTTCCAGTAGGCAATCCTTTAAGGTGAATTTGGGTTGAGCAAGGTTCTACATGGGAAGAACAGAGGGTTTTGTCTGGGTTGTTCTGGGTTTTTTTTTCCCCTTACCGTATTTCTAGCTAAGATCAGAATATTTTAATGTGTCCAAAAAGGCTACTAGAATTGTTCAAATATGCTTGGTTTCTTTAATTCTGCTTCCCCTGTAGTCAGCAGAGAAATTCCTGTTTGATTACAGTAGAAACAGCATGATTCCCCATAGTACAATACTGAATGTTCCAGTTATGGTTTTTACCTACAGTTTCAGTGTAATTGTTTTATTTGATATTATAGCCTTTTACTACCATCATAGGTGTTGACTGTTACATGGTCTAAGGTACAATCACATGTAGGATTGGTGTATTGATGCAAACTCCTACATGTAATACCTTAATTACTGGTAGCAGTTAAGCAGTCTAAACTGTTGTAATCTGCACTGGCTGATTAAACTTAGTATGGGTGGAGGTATCTAGGAGGCTGGGCACCTTTGAGAACAAGGTGGTGCATAAATATCCTTAGTGTACTTGTCTTTTCACTAATTTCAATTCAAAACTGCCTTCCCATCCTTGCTACTGTAAGGAGGGGGAAACAAACCTCAAATCTATCAGGGCGTAATGCTTCAGCAGTTCAATGACTACTTGGTGTGGAGTGCTACAGCTGCAGGAACCATCTAGGGCGAGCTGCTGGTTTTCCATTGCATTCTTTCAAAGCTGAAAATCTTATTTCCGTATGTTGAATTTCAGTGGCAACTTGACAAGCACTGTGATTTTTTAGGAGACGTGGTTGTTCTGAGTGTTTTCCACTTTAAATTCTGTAGCACGTTAAGACCAGCAATAACCCTAATAGAAGGGAGAAGAAGGGACAACCCTTTTTTTTGTATATTGAACTAGAATCTGATACACAAATCTTTCTTCAATAGTGCAGTAAAGAGCCTTCTGCAAGATTATGGTCAACTAAAAAAGCAATGTTCGCTGAAAGGATCTGAATTGTACATTGCAAAATTGGAGCCTTCCTCTTGAGGGTGGATCATTAGGATGGATAAAAACCTCTTCAGTTTAACTGGAATGATACGTGCATCTTGAGCAGAGTTGTAAGATGGATAAGGTTAAGCTTCAAACTGGCTGCAGCTATAAGGTTGGAAAGCTCTGCTTTTCAGAAGCTTCTTTGTATTGCAAACTTGGTAGGGAGGCCTCTCAGCTGAAGCTGACCCTGCCCTAAAGATTTCCAAGTGCAGAGTGGAAGACGTGCGACCCTTACAACCAGACACTTTTAGGCACTGTATTTACTGCGTAGTTCTGAAATGTCTAACGCATCTGACCACAGAAAAAGGCAAAATCTGCAGTGGCAGTGATGAAATGCTTGTCAGCAAGCCTGTCCCTTCTGGCTCACGTATAGCTGTCATGTTCGGGTTAGTGTTCCCAGCACTGCTATATTGAGGTTATAACTTGAGTATCTCCTCATTCCTTGGCTGCTGCAGCCCATCTTCCTGGCTGTAGCCAGAGCCTGCTTGCAGCTTGGGTTAGCTCATCTGTCGGACAGGGTGGGGTTTGAAGAGCAAGCACTACTAATAATGTAGGCAGCCTGCAGGAGCTCTGGTTGCAATGTTTCATCAGCTGCTAATCCATTTACAGTATAGTTAATCAGATTGCTCTGTTCAGTACTGCAGAGACTTTGTGCTACAGCATTGTAATCGAGATGGCTGATGTGTATAAGCTAGCTTGTAAGAAATCAAGCTGGCTATTACAGTGGAGACAAGGTCTTGTCTACTGAGGTTTGTAACTACTTTCTGTTTTGTAACTCTTGATTACTTGCATTAACCCAGGACGTTTATCTCAAGACAAGTTTTGAAGCTTTCTGAGTTTAGTCTCTAAATCAACCATTGTTTGTTGGGGATGGAGAGATGGGCTAGGTTTTTTCTTTTCAAAATGTGGGAGCAGTGCAGCTCATTCTCCTCCCTCAGTGAAAGTATGTAGTTTGCACCCAAATTCATTAGCTTAAGAGGAAATTTCTGTGTGACTGTTTCTGTTTAGGTCAATGTACTAACAGCACTGCATATGAAAACTTAAACAGAAAGCATCATTTTCATATACTTTTTTTCTGTAGTTCTCATGCCAGCGTGAATTGTTGTTGAAGTAGTTTCTTTACAATAGAAAACTAGGCAAAAGACTTGTCTTTTTAAATACTGTAATAAGTAGTTGATCTGAAATTCTTACTCCTGTCTCTGTAGAATTGTAAATGGGGGGTAATCTCTGTTGTGGGAATTGTAACTGTATTTGCTTGGATTGTCATGGAAGTAGTGTCTCCAGATTCTTTAGCAAGGCTGACTTACTGTTGCTCATGAACAAATTACCAAAACCCAAACCGAATTCAATCCCCCTTCCCTGCCCCAACAACAACAACAAAATTCCCAGGCAAACCACGTAGTTTTGAAACTTCATTTTAGCTCCTGTAGCTTTAGTAGTTAGACCAAGCTAATCTCAATCTCTCTCTTTTTTTCTCACCCCCCCTCCTTCTTTTTTTTCCCCTTCCTGACAATAAGACTCTCAAATAATACTTGAAATAAAGGAGATAGCTTAGTCTGCTTTGGCATTATGATAGGAAGTCATACCAGGAAGATAGCTTGTTTATAAAATTTAATGTGGGGTAATACCATCTTTGTGTTGTAATGGGAGTAATGGAGAAGTGCTAAATGCATTCAGTACTTAATGTGATCAGAAAAATGAATGTCTATAGAATCCAACAGTGACAGTTGGATTTGCAGGGTTTTCCTTGAAATTAGAAAAGATGATAGATTCTCAAAGCATTAGAGCAAAGTGCATGTTTTCAGGTACTGTGTTTCAAGAGTATTTGAAATGTAGATCTAAATGTTTATACTTGGTGAGATACTCCCGGTTTTACTGAAACTGTTCTGTTTTCTTCCAGGTGAATCTGGACTGGGAAAATCAACATTAATCAACTCATTATTCTTAACAGAATTGTATTCCCCAGAGTATCCAGGTCCTTCACACAGAATTAAAAAGACTGTACAGGTATGTCTGGGGGAAAAAACTTGCAGCTTGAACAATGTAACTTGCAATTTAGTAATGTAAGGTGATACAGTTGTCACATAAGCACCTATGTTTCAAGTAAGTTTAGCCATGGTGTGAACTGCTAAGAAATACTCAGCGTGTGTCTTTCAGTATATCTTAGCTATACAAAACTTACAGGTTCTGAAACTTGTAGCCTGTTGAAGTGTGGGAGCCCTGAAGTGAAATACTTTGTGTGCTGCCTGTACTTTAGAAACCTCATACGGGTGCAGTACTGTTTGGAAATGGAATGTTTTATTATCAATTAAAATACTGAGTATATCTGTAGAAATACATAGATGTGCACTAAAACCCCTGGCTGTTTAAGGAAGGCTTTTAGAAACTGTGTATTAAAGGATTTTACATAAGCGTAAGGACCTAAGGTATAAAAGTATCCACCAATCTTCTGCAGCCTATATCCTTTGTGGTACGTTTTTTACCTATTATAAGTTGTTATTCTGAAACATCAAGGACTAGGGTGAACCTGGCTGACTTAAAGCACTAGACTTATATAGGCAAAGGTGTTCCTGCAAGTGCATGATTTAGTCAAAGACTGGAAAACTGAAGTTGATCCATTTGTTTTGTGTAATAATTTGCTACTGATCAATTACATTTTCTCTCAAGAAAAGGAGCATGCTTTCTGTATTATAAAAAGGTTATTAAAAAAAAACAACCCTAATACTAAGAAATAATTAAATAATGTTGTGGGTAGCTTAGGAAATCATTACATTTCAGTGGGGTATTTTCTGCCTCTACTGCTGAGCAGCTGAATAAGGATGCATGAGCTTCGTTCATCTCTCTTGATGCATGTCAGACACTTGTTTAAGATTTTGGTGAAGATAGATAGCTTGTGATAATCTAACTTCGTAGAGATGAGGACCGGAGTGCTCAGCATTGCTGCTGTTCTCTGGCAGAGTTCCTCCAGCTGCAAAATGACAGTCTCAAACCACCTCAGCTGTGGCTGAAGTGATTGTGCAATTACAGAGTTGTCATAAAGTGATTAAGCCTTGTGTTGAGTTAGGAGGGTATGTAAGGTGCTAAACAGAAGCTGTAAAATTGAATGCCTTTTTTATTCAGTGGAATTGAATAACTGTGCTCCAGTGATCCACTGACCTTACTGTTTTGTGGGGCTTTTGGTTTCTTTTTGTTTGGGGTTTTGGGTAAGGCTTTTTTTAAATCCAATCTCAGAACACTGAATAATTACCACAGGGCCAGGAAAAAGTTAGTTATGCTCATACTGAGAAGGTTAACTGACATTGCTTGTCAATTATCTCAACATCAGTTCTTGAATACTAATACAAAATGCATTTGTTGCAGAATATAATTTTTTTAATTTGGAAAAAAGCTTTTGAACATCCTGAGTTTGATTAACAATATATTTATTTTTTTTCTAAGCTTTGGTCATGTCTATTAGGCTATTTTATCAGTTTAATGTAAAACCATAGTGACTCTGACAAAATGGACTTAAAAGCTTGTTAGAAGGGGCATTAGACCATTATTTGAATTAGAAGGGTTGAATTTATGTACCTGTTTCAAAGAGATGTTAAGTGGGATGGCAAAGGTGTGCAAATAGTTTAGCTCTGGTAGAATATATTTACTAATGAAATAATTGGTGACTGTTGGAAAACTAAGGAGAAGGGTGACTTCTTTTTTATTGAGAGAGAGACGTAGTGTGATTTCATTACTGTTAATTATACATTGGTGTACACTTTGGAAGTTAAACCAATTCAGGTTGTGTTCATTGAATTATAGTTTAAATAACGTAACGGTGAGTTGGATTCCCTGTCGCTGGAAGTTTTTTTTAAATTGCGAAAAATCATGGGAAGAATTTACACACAAACTAACAACAAAAAAAAAGACATCTTTCAAAGATGACTCAGTCCCACCCTGGCTAAAGGTAAGCCAGTGTAAGAAAAATTAAACTAAAACTGTGTGTGGAGCTTCTGGAATCTGAGTTAAGTACTTTCATCTGTTAGGTAACAATATTAGATGATCTGTTCATCCTGACCTTTTGAGTTCTTCAAAGGTGGTTTGTTTTTTATTAATTTACTGGTTGAAGAAAAACCCCCATACTCTTCAGGAAGCTTCACTTTAAATTTTTTTTTTTTTTTTTTTTTTTTTTTTTTTTAAGGCATGTAAAGCTGGGACGGGTGGGGGGAAGGGGGAAGGATTGAACAGAGCCCTGGCTGAAAAGCCATTGCTTTTTTTCCTACTTGCCCTGTGTGGGCTAAAGCCTGAGGGTGGCCAAGAACTAGCCAAAACTATTTTCAGTAGTGAATTGGGGTCTATCATGACTTGGCAAATAATATGATTTGAATAAAATATATTTAAAGACCACCTTCCCCCTCAGAAACTATTGCTTACTTTATCTAATAAGTTTGAGTATACTTGTAGAGCAACATTGCTTTGCTTTCAGTTACTTGTTGTGGTGAATGAAAAATCAGTAAGCATAGCATTTTAAGAAGGAAATTGAAACTTATTTCAGTGTCTAAGTTAGGATAAAACTGTTTCCCCCTACAATGTTGAAAATTGTGTGTGCTAGCAACTAGGTGTATAATGTGGAGGTGATTCCACTCAAATATTAAATCAAAGAATTAACAGTGGGAGCTGCTATTTGGATCCATGGGATTTGTACTCTTTGCCAGTGTAAATCTGAGGATGTCAAGGATTTTGTAGGGTAGAGATGAGACAGACCACCAGAGCATCCTAAAATCTTGGTGGTAATAATCGCCTGCTCTTATATGATGGGACTAACTTATTGATCAGGAATTATATGAGAGTCTTGTATAGATAAATACAAACTGTGGTTTGGGCTTGAAAACAATTGCAGTTTGAAGTTGTTTTGTGAGGCAGGTCCTTTGTGTTAGTTTCATGGAAAACACAGAAAAACAGTACGTGATTTGATGTCAGATGAATTCAAAGGAAACTTCTTCGGAAATGGTGGGGTATGAAATATGTTTTCTCTGATCATTATTTGACTATCTTAAATGGAGTATGGTAAAGGCTTGTTTAATCCATTAAAAGTAGTCAAGCTGTAACAAGCATCATGTCATGAATGCTGTGTAGTAACTGCCAAGGAGATCCGTGTGACCCAGTTGACTGGAGTGCATGGGAAAATGGCTGTTTGGAGGAGACTTTTATTAAAAAGTTCTAAATTCCAAGACTTGAACTAATGTTTTCCATGAATCCCTTGGGAATACTTGTAAATCAGATGATAGGATGCAGTTGGATGCTTAGCTATGAATGACACTAGTTTACAGTGATTTTCTGGATCTTTTCCAGATGTTGCTGCTTTCTGTGCCTTTGACCATGTATGGACACATCCATTTAGGTTAGAAAAATGCAACGTTACAGCGGCTTTATGGCAGGTTCTTCACCCACTGTCTCTTACCAGTAGTGTCTACCGCTTACAATATATGGTGGATATGGTCTGATTGTCCACAACACAAGCACAGGACATTTAATTTGACCAACTAATGTTTCTTGTTCTGTAGATTTTTGAAAACCCTGCTCTGATAGCAAGATACCTACATGAATTTATGAAAAATAAGAATAAATTTAAATCCTCACCACCCAGTAAGGTATTAGCACTGTCTGCAGAGATTCAGTTACTGCAGGCCATTTGTCAGAAGGTGACTTCACAAATTCAGCCGCGGTTACATTTTAAAAGCATAAAGAATCAGGAAAAATGTTTGGCGTGGCATTTCTGAGGATCTCCTGACCTTCCTTTTCCTTTGTTATAAACACACGTTCAAGATAATGTTTTTTTTAATTGCTTCTTTTGTAAAAGCATTCCACTGTGAGTGCTTAACAATTTAATGGTTCTTGCTGGGAATTTTTGTGCTGGAAAATAAAGCTGACACCTTGTAGTGCTTGGCAAGAGTACAGCTCTTAACATTATCATCTCTAGTATTTTGAAAGCATTACGGGTTTCTTATACTTGCAGAGAGCTTGGTTATAGGAGTGCTTTGTTGTTACTATATGCAAGATAGCAAAAAGAATGTGAGGAATCAGAAGTTAATCTCCTGTGTGCTAAAGCTAGTGAGTAGTAAACTCTTGGATGAGTTGACTGTGTGGCTGGGGATTACTGTCTTCAGTTCTGGCATCAATTGTGTACAACAAAACTTCTCTATAGAACGCTTGAGGGGGAAAAAATACATGCACTACAATTAAAACATAAGTTTTTAAAGGACTGCATGTATTCCTAGGTTCTCATGGCTTTGGACTGGACACTTTCGGAAGGGTAGGAGTTGTACAGTTAGTGAAAGGGAAACTTGGTGGTGTCTTCAGCTGGTGTGTGTGCGTTGGGTTTTTTTTTTTTTTTTTTTAAAACCTTCCTAACCTTGTAGTAAGGCCTGCTTCAAGTAGGAGATTGAATTGGGTAGCCTTGAAGTCCACCCCAACCTGGATTCTTCTGTGACTAACATCCAGGTAGGCCAGTGTTGGGGACTCTTGTTTTATGAAGCTGCCTTACTGATATTTGTCTTTTTGTTAAGTGAGGAACCAATTCATGACGATTGCATGCTGTAGACAGCCATAGTGTAGCTGAGTTAATTTTTTGAGACCTAGCAGTGAAAAGGGATAAATCTGGCTCGGATAGGATCCCTACTGATGAGTAGATAAAAATAGCATCCTGCATACTCAGAGTTTAAATATGGAGCTTTCTTTGCAGTTAGTTACTGTTTTCTGTGTTTCTGTATATTCTCTTCTGAATTAGAATCAGTGTTTTGCTTGTGCAAGAGGTATTTAGCTTGACTTTCTGCAGAGTGTTAATTTATCTTGTAGATTTACATTGCATCACATAACCAGTGATTGCAAAGTGTTTACAACAATGTTCAGGTGTGGCTGTGAGAGAATCTGTTTCACCTATGTAACTAGGGATGTGCAAGCGCTTAAGCAGCATTGATACGATCTTTCTCAAATCTTCAGCTGGTCAAGAGACCATCCAGATAGGATTTATTATCCGAGTTTTTACTCTCGCTGAAAGTTTATTACTGAATGTTCTTGCAGGTGTTCACCTAGTTAAATATAACTTTTTATTCTCTTCCCAGTTCGGGTTCAGGAGGCTTAAGAATGTTAAGCAATGAGCAACAAGGTGGCATCAATGTCTGCCAACTCGTGTGTGGCTCTGAATAAATGGCTTGCGTGGTTGATTTCTTGAATCCATATCTAGAAAATGGCGTGACTAGTGATTTAATAGAAATTGTCTGAATATCAGAGAAAAAACTATGATTAAATGTGTGAGCAATTGGAAAGAGCCAACATGCTAACATGAGTTTGTCATTTCTTAGTGCTATGGATTAGACTGACGGATACGACAGTGGTGTACAGCACTTTCTCAGGCAGATACCCCTGACGTTGGCATTATCAATAATTATTGAGATATTAGTAGAAAGAAGGGGGTAGCAGTCCATTTGTTGGTTAGCCTAAATTTTTTGTGTCATGACATGCTTAATCTGTTTGACATGCTTTACTGCAAGCTGACTGAGCTGTGCTGCAGATGGGTGGTCACGACTTGAGGCACGCATTCCCACGCCCAGATCTTGCATCATGCCTTGTGCTGATGCAGTTCTCTTCTGAGCCAGGTTTCCATCAGTGACCTGAGCTAACAAGAACCAAGCCATTACGTTCATGTGAGGTTTAGCTCAGCAGATTGCAGCTAGATTCTGTTACTTTCCAATATCAGTCTGTTTGTAACAAGAAACCATCACTTGCTATGATTCCTCTCCCAGACATTATACTAGCTGAAGAATAAATATTAAAATATTAAAATATCCTTTATACTTAGATGGGTTCTTTTATCACTGACTTTATTTAAATTATGACCTTTTTTTCTTAACAAAAAAAAAAAAAACTAATGATTATCAAATTACTGGGATTTTATAAGTAAAATACGGACCCAGTATCCCTCTGAAGCAGAAAAGTTAGCAATTCTTTGTCAGACTTCTTATTCATTGAATGCTTTTCCCAGTGTTTAAGATGAGTGACTCAAATGCTAAAAATTTAATTGTACCTTATTCATTTTACAGGTTGAGCAGTCAAAAGTTTTAATCAAAGAGGGTGGTGTTCAGTTACTACTTACAATAGTTGACACACCAGGATTTGGAGATGCTGTGGATAATAGTAATTGGTAAGACATTCTTTGTATGTTCTCCCACAATAATTCTGAATTGTATTTTGTGAGTGTGTGCGAGATAATACCTTGTCACATTTTTTTAAAATGCACACTTCCGTCTTCAGTTAAAATATTCATTCTTTTCAACTTTTCAGTTAGCTGAAAACTTTAACTACTGTAGCTCCAAGAACCTTTATAACTTGACTGAAATGCTATCAGCTTTTCCCTTTAAAGCGAATGGAGCATTTGGCTCTTTATCCACACATGCAGTGTGCAGAACTGACTTCTGTGCTGTCACAAGATGTGACCAGTAAAGCGTATTCCTTTGGCTGTGGTTCATAAGTGTTCCATTTAGTGCTATTACAATGAAGGTAATTGTGTTTGAAAGGGTTTTTCAGTGAACTCACAGATTGTATCTTCAGAGCTATGTAACTCGGTTGTATGTTGAGGAGCTGGTCATTTAAAATGTGCTGTGTTGAAGTCTTTTAATTTAAAAAAAAAAAAGAGGCAAGCCATGGGGAAATAGTGTACGTCTATTTCTTAGCAAATACAGACTTTTTTTACATAAATGATATAACTTACAGGTTTTTATTCATGTAACCTCTGCAGTTGGCAGCCAGTTATCGACTACATTGACAGTAAATTTGAGGACTACCTGAATGCAGAATCTCGAGTGAACAGACGTCAGATGCCAGATAATAGAGTGCAGTGTTGTTTATACTTCATTGCTCCTTCAGGACATGGGTTCGTATTAGTGTATTTTTTTGTCTCCTTTCTCTGTCTTTTTATCTCAGATAAACATCCAAATTTGGCATTCTTAGTTATGTCAAGTTTCAAATAGGATTTTCGTAATGGCCTGCAGACTATGCTTGATTTGAAAGATGAGCTTACTTTGGCTTGTCAAACATCAGCAAGCCAGACAAGTAATAAGTTAGAACACCAGAAAACATGATTGCACATTAATTACATAACAAGAAAAATAGTATTAGAACAATTAAAAATACACAGGTGTTCACAAGTGCCAGGTCTGTTTGTGATCTATGTGTCTTTTGTTCACATTAGAAGGAGAAACTGGTTCACACTTCAAGCGACAGGATTTTTCCTTTCCATTCTTCCTCCCTCCCTTTGGTTTTAATGATAAACTGAAGATGGGAAGTTTCATGCATCCTTATAAGCATGCTTTAATTCACCTGGGGTGTAATTTTTGTCTAGTGATAATTCCAATATAGGCATTCTGGATTTTTTAAAATTATTATGCAATCTTCCACCCCTGCTTACTTTTAAACTTGATCAGACTTCTATCTAGTGGTAGAGAGGGAGAACTGCATTTCCAGGGTGTATTAGATGCAGATTGACTATATCTAAAATTGGTTGCTTAGCATTTTATCATTGTATTATAACTGATTAAATTTGTCAGAGACTCATAAGTTATACCTTCAAAACCAGAAAGAGGAGAAGATAAGTAGCCTATTCTATTGTATGGGTCAAAAGTAGTAAAACTTGTTGAAGGGAGTAATGAAGGAATTCTGAGGAATATTCCTCAGGCAGTGAAAAATGCCAACTATTACACTCAGCTTCTGTAGCTAGCATTGGAATGGTTCTAATAATTTTGAACTAGACAGAGAAACATTGGGGGGTGGAGAAGACTTTTTCTTATGTAGATTTGCCTTACTTAAACATTTTGTTGTTGCTCAACATGCATGTTCATAACGTCAGTTTTGCTCAACATGCATGTCAATTTTAAATGCAAACACTTGAATCCTTGGCATACACTGTTTTAATAGTATGCAAAATCAAAATGTCATTTAAATAAAGGGACGATGATCCATTCCTTGTGTTTTCAGCCTTTCTGAGCTAACTTTCACGGTCTTCAAAAAACATATGTCTTCCCTCCACACCCCCCTTTCATCCATTAAAATTTTCTAAACCAGTGGGAGGTACAAATTGTTTGTAAGGAAAAATGAAGGTAATGCTTCAGATAAATTAAATTTTGCTCGCTAAATTCGTGAGGCTAAAAGCTGGAAAAGTATGTTCCTTGTACAGGTATTTCATGTTATTCTTGGCGGGGGGGGGCGCGCGGGGAAAGTGTAAAGTTGAGCTGGGTTTGCATAGTGTTTTTCAATTACTGGAGTAAATGCTTGCAAAAGTCATCTAATTAAGGAAATGAATGGAGCACAGAGAAAATTGGTGCTGCTGTTAGCATTCATTTCCTCTTTTAAGATACTGTCTTCTCTGAAAGGACATTGCTCACTTCCTACCTGGTTTTTGTGGCGGTGCAGTCTTCAGTCATGTTTCCTGTACGGACAGCAGCACATGTAACCTGTCGAGTAGTGTACTCTTCACTCTTAATGCATGATTGTATTTACATTGAATTAAAGCATTTGTAGGTGAACTTACTTCTGTTTGTCCTTATGACTTAATACATTTGTAAAAGCCAGCTTGTTACAATTCATAAAGAAAAAATTGCAGGTTAGGTCCTTCCGTTTAACGCATCCCGCCATTTTTAGCTGGTATCCCCATAAACATCTGAACTGATGTTTAGTTTGTGTGGGTGTAGGGGGAGAGAGTGAACGGGCGGGAGGAGCCTTCCAGGTAAGTGAGTGGGGTGATAATGAATTGCAGCCTCTTTCTGCAATTCTAGAATCTTTATGTAAAGGCTTCCTACTTCAGTCTCCACTGTAAACTCAAGACCTTGAGGTGAGCACTGTGGTCGTTCTGAACTACTCTGCTTTGGCAACTGCCCTTCAACCTGGTGTTGCCCTAGGTAGCTTTCCGAAGTGAGGAGAAGGAAAGCATATTAAGGTGGATGGATAGCCAAACCAGTGCACTTAATCTAGATGTGCATTAATGTTAGCTATTTAATGGAAACATGCTGAGAAGCTGAGAAATTCAGTGGCAGGTAGAAAATATTAAAGTGAAGTTAAGTATGTGTTCTTTAACGTTTTCTTTATTCTTTTATATATGGTTTGGAGAAGAAGCTAAATTTGAGTACCAAATGAATCTGGTTTTAATGTTCCTAATCCTAATTTCTTTTATATGAGAAATAATCTTGTTAAATCCTTTAAGTGAATCCTTTAAGCCTGACTAAACTTGGTATAATTCTGAAGCATTAATGCATCAAAACCTCTGTGGCTTTACTTTAGCAAGCAGGAAATATTGACCACTTTGATCCACATTGATGGTTTTATATACCCATATGGTGGGTGTTTTAGTTTTTATTTCATTGTCATCCACTTTCATAATGGTCTTTTTGTTATACATAGCAATTTAGAGATGAGGTATTTCTACTTCATTTGTACACAGGCCACAGAGTTTACTGTCTTCAGCAATCTAATGTATAAAAATATCTCACAGCCCACTCTCAGGAAGAAGCGTACGAATAAACACGACTTTCAGAAACTGAAACTGCATATGTGAACAGAGCATCATTCACAACTGTAAACTCTTACCAGTCAGGCTTTAAATGGGATAATCTTCCAGCTAGTGACATGAGCTTTGCTACCTTCATAGGAGAGTTCTTATCACTTGCTCAGATGAGTGTACTTTCCGCTAGCAGAAGTCTCATGACTACTAGTAATACTAACTTATGACTTACTCCTCTGGTATTATACTCTGGATTTCCTATAGCAGTTGAAGGTAGCCTTTTGAATTTCATTCAAGCATCTATCACTCATAAATCAGTGTCTTAAGAGTAGTTGTCAGGACAAATCTCAAATCATTTGTACATTCTTGTTTAATTAATATAAGTTGCAAAGCTCTAATGCTGTCTTTCAGACTTAAGCCTTTGGATATAGAGTTTATGAAGCGCCTGCACGAAAAAGTGAATATCATTCCACTTATTGCCAAAGCAGACACACTTACACCCGAGGAATGCCAACAGTTTAAAAAACAGGTGAGTTGAAAGATTAGTATTTACAACACGGGATAATTTAGTAAGTTGATCCCTATGGAAATGGTAAGATTTAACTTCTTACATGCAAAGTTTAAACCCTGAAGCAATGACTTGAGACAGCAAAGCTAAGTAATTTATATCTCTAGATTTAATTATATTTCTTGGTGAAATAATCTTGTTTCTATCCTCAGGGGAGGAGGTTTCAAGTGTAGTATGATTCTTGGCAAGTGAAATAATTCACTGCTGAGATAAGAATCAGTAAGGGAGGAAGGGAGCTTTCAAGATTTAGGTGCCTAACAAGTTGTGTGTTTAAACAAAAAAAAGTTATTTAAAAAAAAGGGTATTTAACAGTATTACAGTATTATTGATTGTATTGTGGTATTCACTTTCGTGTTGATGTGCTATATTTATTAAAGATGCCTCAGGTATTAGATGAGAATCAGTATACCTGTTGTTCAGTCTTGGGCTGTGGTAATGCATTTTAAAGATGGTGAGATAATTCTAACATTGATACAACCGATATAATTTCTTTGTATTTGTAGAATAAATTTAGTATTAATGTGGTTTATGTTTTATTTCAACTGCATGATCAGAGTAGAACATTTAGGCTTTGCTGTATTGTATGAAGAGGATAGGGAGGACCCAGAACAGGACAAGACAAGGCATGAATTTGTTTTGTTGAACTGTGTCCAGTCCTAGTTTAGAAGAACACAGGTTCTGAAAAAAAATTGGCATTAAGAGATGCTGTGTGCAAAACTATTGGTTTAAGACTGAAAATTAAAGGACATTTCCTGCCTTGGAGAAACTTAAGCAAGGTGCTATAGACCTGAAGTCTGTTTTGGTTGCATTTCATGTTGGTTTTTTTTTTTTTTGATGTAAGGGGGGAAAAATGGTAGAACACAGAATATTTCTTAATATATAAGCAGCTTTATCAATGAGTTGATGTTAAATAGGGGAGACTTTCCCAAATCAAACTTTAAAAATAAGTCCTTGCATGAATTGGAAACTTACGTTCTTGTAAGATTGCAAACCCATGAACCAGAAATATTCCCCAGGGCTCTGCAGTGTAGCTGTCAGCTAATGGTCTAATATTTTTCCGTTCTAAAATTCTGGAAAATTAATCAGGTTGTTTTCAAAAATACCCTTCAGACAAATCGACCACCAAAACAGTAGAGTCTCATTTTTGATGATGCTGTCAGTTATTCTTAAATTTTCATTAGTGGCTGCGAATATTTTTCAACACAACTAACCGCTAGAGTCAGTCTGTCAGTCACAAGTGCTATTAAAATAGGCAGGTGATCCTGCTTCAAACAACTGATGCTCAGGTGAGCTAGAAACAGAAAAGAATAGGAGTGACAGCAGTAGCTATTGTGGGAACTCCAAAGGGCTAAAGTATGCCTGCAGTTATCTATTCAAATCTCTCTCTTTTTTTTTTTTTTTTTTAAGGGACTCAATTGTGAGACTAGTCTGAGAATTTAAGCTGTACTGTGTTAGTTTTTGCATGTGCAGGTAGAATTCCCATTAGTGTAAATCTCTGTTTGCTCCATTGTAGAAAACTGACGTTAATTTTTGCTGCCTTGTATTGATGGATAGTATTCTGTTAGCTCTGAGGCTCTGGCTCTGATTCTGTCTTCTCCTGGCTAAGGAGAGATGGCCATGCTAATAATCCCTTGGGGTCATCTGATAGTGTTAAACATGTGCAAGTTTTGTGATGTAACTTAGTCACCTTAATATGCAAGGCTCTTACATATCAAACAAAAGGAGGAAGAATGAGATTGCAGCAAGAAATAGTGTTATTATGAAGTATGAATTCCTCAAAAAAATAAGATTTTTTTGTTTTTAGATAATGAAAGAAATCCAAGAACACAAAATTAAAATATATGAATTTCCAGAAACAGATGATGAAGAAGAAAATAAGATTGTTAAAAAGATAAAGGTAAATAATTTTCTTCTTAAAAACTGCTTACTCGGGG